TCTGCGACTTCTGCAAAAAATGTAACACAGTCTAACTATTTCTAAAGTTTCTTAACCACGCTGTGTACTCTAACACTTTAACGGAATTATGACAGCACATGTGAAGTTCTTAACTTGAACAACACATCCTTTTGATGTTAACAGAGTGGAATAATAAAAAAATATTTTTAGATTAATTAAACTTAATATGCGAAGCACTGTTTTCAATATCAGACAAAAGATTAAGATGAATTATTAAAAACACAAATAGCAAATAACAATATAGAGTCAATTTAGTCTTATTATTCATAATTGCAGTATTTTTATTTGGCTTACAGTGTAATTTTAATAAGTTAATTTTTCACTCTGATATTTTTATTTATAAGTTATTTTATTATTTTAAGTAATTTTTACTTCCTGAGCGTAAGCTAAGTATAGTAATCGAGTCCATCGAGCGACTTTCTTGTTTTCTCGACGTTTTACGAACCCTAGAATACCAAAAAAGTAGTCTCCCGTTTCCATCTGTCTATCTGTATGTCTTTTTGGCGTCTGTGTCAATTTTTATTAGACGTGTAATCTCCGAAATTACCGATGGTTGTCAAATTTTGTGTCTGTCTTAAGAATATCATGTGGTTAGTAAAACGCTAACCAAAATTTGGTTAATCATCTACACCACCAATATAATGACGTTGTCAACAAAATTTATAATGTTTTTTTACTTTATTTTATAAAATAAGATACTCGTTCACTTGTGATGCATAAATCCGTGTTGAGTTTTTATCCTAGGGATCCAGATTTAAAAAAAGTTGGTCGAAAGTTGTTTCGACAGAATTTCCTTCGCTCCTGAGATACAATGGTATATTTTTTTGAGTCACTTGTATACGCAAATCCAAAAATTATGAGTAGAATGATAAATGACAACTACAGATTCATCATATTTTCTACATTTTAGGTGGATTTATTCATCAAAATTTTGAGCTAACGTCATCAATTTTTTGGGGGGATAAGTAAATATATTTTGATTAAAAATGTATGATGCCATAACCTTAAGACATCTGCAAGATTTCAAAGTACTCGGTTTTGCGGATTTAAAATTAAATTGCAAAATGTTGTTTTATAATTTTGAATTTTTCCCAAAAATCTGGACGTTTTGAGTAAAAACTCAACACGGAGTCATAAACTACATGTGTAGGACTATGTTATTATATACAATCTAAAACCCATTTACTATGTACAATTTTTCAGTAACGTCATCACATTATTGTTGGGGATGATTAGACAAATTTTGGTTAGCCTTTTACCATCTTCATGATATTCCCAATGCAAATACAACATTTGGTTACAATCGGCCCAGTACTTTCGGAGAGTATCTGTGTAATAAAAATCCGTGACGGCAGACAGTCAGACAGACAGACGGAAAAGGTATACCTATTTCTTCGTACTTTAGGGCCCATGAAAGGTCGAGAAAACGTTAAAGTAGAGAGTCGGTCAACGGACTCGATTACAGTACTTCCCTTGCTTATATTTTTCAATTAATTAAACTTCATATGCCAAACACTTTTTTCATCATTATACAAGGATTAAGATGAATTGTTAAAAAAACAAATGACAAATAATATACAGTTAATTTAGTCTTTTTGTTCATATTTGCAGTATTTTTATTTGGCTTACAGAATTCTTAACACTGACATTGGCAGCAGTTAATATTAATAATAATTCTAAGAATTTTATTTTTCATATTGATATTTTTATTTATAGGTTATTTTATTATTGTGTTATTTTAAACAATTTTTACTTCCTGAGCGTAAGCTAAGAAAGTATAATAATCAAATCCACTTTCCTTGTTTTCTCGGCGTTTCACGAACCTCAGAGTACGAAATTGGTGATCTCCGGTTTCCGTCTGTCTGTCTATCTGTTTGGAGTCTGTGTCAATTTTTATTAGACTAGACACAATAATCTCCGAAACTACCAATCGTTGCCAAATTTTGTATGTATATTAGGAATATCATGTAGATGGTCAAACACTAACCAAAATTTGGCTAGTCATCTCCACTACCAATGGGATGAGGTTATCTCCAAAATTTACATTTTTTTTTTTATTTTATAAAGATTGATACTCGTTCACTACTTGTGATGTATGAATCCGTGTTGTGTTTTCATCCCGGGCATCTAGATTTAAAAAAAATCCAAACTTGTTAACATTTTGCAAAACCGAATGCTCTAAAATCTTGCAAACGTTTTAAGATTTTCGTAATCATGGTAAATCGTTAATCAAAATGTATTCATTGATGACGTCATCTCACAATTTTGCTTCATAAATCATCTCTGAAATATGAAAAATATATAGGTAATCATTCTATACTTATGGTTTATCAATGCATTCATAATTTCTAGAATTACTTTTACAGAGTGTCTTAAAATATTAATTAATGGGGCAATTCATTGTATTGATTAAATCAAGAACGACTCACTCCATTTTCCTGAAAATTTGGGAATACAGTACTATTATTATTAATATTACACTTACATACATATCTTTATTTTGATTTTTTTTTTTAATTAATTATTATCAAAAAAAAATAAAATTCGCAAAATGAAATATTATAATTTTTTGAAAAATCTGGATTTGTTCTATTGTTGCTCAAGAGCGAGGGAACTTCTGTCAAAATGAGTAAATGACCTTCGACCATTTTTTTTATAAGAATAGGTGAGTGGTGAGTTTAATTGTTGTTTGTTTTAATAGTTTTTTTTTATTTTACTTCTAAAGGATGTTATTGTTATATTTTTTGGGGAATATAAATACGTAAATCCAAAAATAAAAAATTGGTCTAAAGAGTTTAGACAGTACTTCCCTCGTTGTCGGAAACGTGACGACTGCATGACTATTATGTTTTTTTTTCGCAGTGGATTTCAAAGAATTCGGTTTTGTAGTTCCTGAGTAAATCAATAAAATAAATTTACGCATTCAATAATTTTTTTGAGTCACCCTGTATATGCAAATCCAAAAAAAATCAATGGAGTGATAAATCACAAGTACAGACTCATCATATTTTGTACAGTTTAGATAGGATTTATTCGGCAAACTTTCGAGCTGACGTCATCAAGTTTTTGGAGGGGATAAGCAAATATATTTTGACTAAACATTTATTATGCTCTTTATAACCTTAAAACATCTGCAAGATGTCAGAGCATTCCGTTTTGTAGTTCCTGATTAAATCAATAAAATATATTTACGCATTCATTAATTTTTTTGAGTCACTCTGTATATGCAAATCCAAAAAATATGGATGGAGTGATAAATGACAAGTACAGACTCATCATATTTTGTACATTTTAGATATGATTTATTCGGCAAACTTTCGAGCTGACGTCATCAAGTTTTTGGAGGGGATAAGCAAATATATTTTGACTAAACATTTATTATGCTCTTTATAACCTTGAAACATCTGCAAGATTTCAAAGCATTCGGTTTTGTAGTTTCTGATTAAATCAATAAAATATATTTACGCATTCATTAATTTTTTTGAGTCACCCTGTATATGCAAATCCAAAAAATATGAATGGAGTGATAGATCACAAGTACAGACTCATTATATTTTGTACATTTTAGATATGATTTATTCCACAAACTTTTGAGCTGACGTCATCAAATTTTTGGAGGGGATAAGCAAATATTTTTTGACTAAAGATTTATGATGCTCTTTATAGCCTTAAAACATCTGCAACATTTCAAAGCATTCTGGTTAGCAGATTAAAAATTAAATTTCAAAATGTTGTTTTATAATTTTGATTTTTTTTCCAAAAATCTGGACGTTTCGGGTGAAAAGTCGATTCGGAGTTGTAAACTACATGTGTAGGACTATGTTATTTTATACAATTGAAAACCCATTTACTATGTACAATTTTGAAGTGACGTCATCGCATTAGTGGTGGGGATGATTAGACAAATTTTGGTTAGCGTTTTACCATCTACATGATATTCTTAATATAAGTACAAAATTTCACAACAATCGGTGGAGTACTTTCGGAGATTATCTGTCTAATAAAAATCCGGGACGGCAGACGGACAGACGGACGGACAGACGGACGGACAGACGGACGGACAGACGGACGGACAGACGGACGGACAGACGGACGGACAGACGGACGGACAGACGGACAGACGGACAGACAGACGGAAATGGGAGACCTATTTCTTCGTCTTCTAGGGGTCATGAAAGATCGAGAAAACGTAAAAGTAGAGAGTCGGCCGACGGACTCGATTACAATACTTCCTTTGCTTACGCTCGGGAAGTAAAAATCTTGAATCAAAACATTCGAAATTTTACTCAATCCGTTCTATCAACTATTAGTATTACACTTACATACATATCTTTATTTTGTTTTTTTTTTAATTAATTATCAAAAAAAAAAATAAAATTCGCTAAATGAAATATTATAATTTTTCGAAAAATCTGGATTTGTTCTATTGTTGCTCAAGAGCGAGGGAACTTCTATCAAAATGACCTTCGACCATTTTTTTTATAAGAATAGGTGAGTGGTGAGTTTAATTGTTGCTTGTTTTAATAGTTTTTTTTATTTTACTTCTAAAGGATGTTATTGTTATATTTTTTGGGGCATATAAATACCTAGATTAAATAAATAAAAAATATTGAATCTAAACATTCGAAATTTTACTCAATCCGTTTTTTTTTAACAGATTGTATATTTTTTTGGTTGTGAAAATGACTGATCTAAAAATTGTACACTTTTGTAATTTTTTTTACACATTAAGATTTTAATTTGAATCGTGAATAAATATTTAAAATATAAAACTGAGACTACCTCATAAGTTCCAGCCGCTTTTTGTAATTTTGCACTCAGAAAAAACGAATTATTTAATTAATTTGACCATTTGGTACCTTTTAAACTCCACGCCACTGCAAGTCAAATCACGTGGGTGTGGACTCGAGCGGAACGAAGATGATGATATGTCTTGAACCGTTCCCGCATAACAGGTGGAAAAGAGACGACAAGTGTAAACAATCAAAAACCGTTGAGGAGTTATTTAATCAGTAAACTAAAATTGTAAATGAAAGAACACGAGAAAATAACTGGAATGAATTAGTTAAAATGCAAATAGTCAGTGCTCAACTCCGCCACGTGCGATCGATTAGTTGTTAACATATTAAATCCCGGTTTAATTATAACCAATAAATTCGTGCCCAACGACCACCTGTTGATTACTCACCCACCACGTACAAAACAATGCAGGCTCCTTGGAAGAAGCTAGAAAACGAAACCGGATTTCCGTTTTATTTCAAGTAAGTGCTAATTTAAGAAAGGGTTTTAAACTAGTTATTTTTTTACAGCGATATCACCCAACAAAAACAGTGGGACCATCCAAAATTTATCGAAATTAAACATGTGATCGATGATTGCAACTATGTTAAATATTCCAAATACAGAGCCGCTCTCAAATTCCGAGCGTTACAGAAAATTTTGTTTATGGAGGATGTTACTCTAAGCACTGTTCTAGGAGTGTTTGCTAAGCATCAACTTGGAACCAATGAGAGCTCACTTTGCTTAGAAAGCTATGACTTAGAGGCCGTTTTGTTTGATATTTATTTTGCTGCGTCAAAGCAAAATAATAAAAGTTTCGATGTGGATTTTGCTGTGGAGTTGATGCAAAATTTTCTGTATAATATTTATGACAAGTAATTTTGTAAAAAGTTACTTTTGCATTGTTATAATTGTTGTTTTAGAGAAAGGCAAGTCAAACTGCAAGTGTCTTCAACCAAGCTAGCTTTAGCTTTGTTGTTGGATTGTGAATTATCCGAATTACACAATTTGATTTTTTCATTGTGTGCTGACCACAATAGTTGTGTGACAAGATTGAGGCTGCAGTCACTTCTGGCAAAACTTGTAGACGTTTTTGTTTTTATGCATGAAGATGTCAGTTTTGGACAACACTTGATCAATTCAACTATAGAAAATTGCTTCAGCAATGTAAGTTTTCCAAAAAACAACTTATATATTATTTTAACCAATAGCAGAATCTGTGCCGTGTGTATGACGTAACTTTTTGTGGGCGTGGCTAATCTTTTTCACCAATCATAATTTTAGTCTCCTGGATTAGTGGGTCTATGTGAAAACAATTTTATTGCTTGGCTAGAAGAAGCACCACAGTTATTTTCGTGGATTCCGGTATTGTATAGAATTAAATCATCTGAATTGGTTATACATAGTACAAAATGTTCAACTTGTAAAGCCAGTCCATTATTTGGCCTAATGTACAGATGCATGAAGTGTTCTAAGTATACACAGTGCCAACGTTGTTTTCTGACGGGACGCTACAATAATTCACATAAGCTCTCTCACTCAATGAGAGAATATTGCACGTCAGAGGTATTTTTTATTTTTGTTTTTTTTTTTACACAAGTTAGTATTCAGCTGTGATTTTAGGCTACTTCTAAAGAATTCAATTTTAAATTTATTAAAAAGTTGTGCGGACTGATGCCATGTTCTGTAAAATTAAATGAGACTGATAATGGTGTTGTTGCTACAAAGTTCCCTAGGTGAGATATTCCTAATAATTTTCCCATTACTTTTTACAAACTTTGTTTACTTCAGTCCCGACAAAAACTTTTTACAAAAATCTTCAAATGGTGGTTTGTTTGGTGTTGAATCGGCTGGGAACCCCCCACATACACAGCTGCAACTTATCATACGACAGTTAGAACTACAAAATCGGTTAGTAACTATTAATAGTCCACTAACAGTTTTTTTTTTATACATGAATTTTTAGGGAATTACACAAAATCCTTTTTGGTGCTTACAACGAAAAAGAAATACGAAAACATCTAGAAGAACACAAAGTCGAAGTGGCTGCACAAATCCACAAGTTGAAAATTTTGAGAGAATGCTTACACTCGGGTGTACAGGCGCCACCCAAAAATTCACTCGAGTCGACACCCATGGTGGGGATTTTTAAGTATCCTAAAAGATCGGATCTGGAAAATATGCTTAGTCCTATAATACAAACTTCAGAGTGCAATGAAAAATCAGGAAGTCAGCAAGCTCTATTCACTTGTGGTAATATTAAAGAGGTTACTCAAGAGTCTTTGCCCTATTCAGTGAATGATATAAGTACGTGGATTAAGAATCAGCCAACGAGTTCCAAAGGTGATATGGAAGCTGTGGTGAGAAATTCACCAGTTAGGGAGTTACACAACGACTTGGACGATGCTTTGGCGAAGTTGCAACAAATTTTAGCGAATAATTTTACTTTAGATGGTAAGTATATTGCTATATTCGAACTTGATTTAGTGGCTCAGCACAATAACACGTTGGGAAACGGGGAAAGATAATCTATCTGGTAAACATCCAGAATTTTTGGAAAAAATTCAAAACTGAATAACAATATTTTGCACTATAACTTTAAAACTGCAAAACCGATTACTCTTAAATCTTGTAAATATTTTAAGGTGATCGTAATCAAGGTAAATGGTTAAGCAAAATTTATTCATTTATCCCCTCCCAAAAAATTGATGACGTCATCTCAAAATTTTGTCCCATAAATTCTCATTTGAAACTTACGCCCAACACGCTTGTTTACATTTACTTTAACATTACATCACATTTTTATTTTGACTCTCAAGGGTTATCATAAAAAAATAAATTTCGCAAAATCAAATCTTATAATTTTTCCAAAAATCTGGATTTATATTTACCTTTAACCAATTTTTGAGATGTTTTTTCATTTTCTTTGATTTTTCAATTTTTGCATTTTTCAAAGGATCGGTTTCATAATTTTTCGTTTTTCAACTTTAATGGCGATTAATTTTAATTGAGGTCCGTTGCTATGCAACGTGCATGTTTTAACCAATCACGGGCTCATATTCTACAATTTAATCCTATGTTAAATTAATTGAAGATTAAATATTTAATTCGCTTTCTATAAACCGACCCTAATTTTTCAATTTCATGCTTGCAAATTTTTCAGTTTATCGTTTCTTGAATTTTTCGTTTTGAAATTTTTCAATTTTGCAATTTTTCGATATTATAATTTTTCATTCTTCGCGTCTTCAGTTTCTCAACTTTTAATGTCTGGATTTTTAGGTTTTTGTTTCCTTAATTTTCAAGTTCTTTATTTTTATTTTTCAAATTCCCGATTTTTTAATTTTCATTTTTTCTTGATGATAATCACAATTTTTTGTTTCATTTCCTTTATTTTTTCAATGTTTCTTCCAATTTTACAATTTTTCATTCGTTTATTTCATTCTTCAAATTTTTAATTTTTCAATTCCTCGATTTTTCAATTTTGCAATTTTTTGATTTCTCAATTATCCGATTTTGTGATTTTTTAATTGCCAGTATTTCGAATTTACAATAATCACCTGATTAACGTTATGCTTTCTTTAATTTGACAGATTTGTTTGCCTTTTTTTCTTAATATGTGTAACCGTCTTTTCACAACAAAAAACTTAAAACATGCTGAAAATGGTAAATTTTTGTAGAGAAATATGTATTTTGCAATTACGCTCCACTCCTCGGTCTAACAACGAATGAAAAATTCATCACAATTGAGATTGGGGCGGGTGGGTGGGGTTTAATGTTTGTTTTTTTTTTAATATAGGGAGTTTTCTTTCAACAACAGGATAGTTAATATGTTTTCAGTTTCTTGTTGGGAAAAAAGACTTCGTGTATTAAGAAAAATGGACAAAATATAAGCCCCGCCCACCCACCCCTTCTCAATTGTGATGAATTTTTTATTCATCATCAGCTGAAGGGTGGAGCTTAGTTGCAAAATCCTCATTTCTGAACAAGAAATTACCATATGAAACATGTTTTTAAAAGAGTAGAATTCTATAGAGAAATTTTGATAAGTTATAATTAAACTCCGCCCCTCGGTCTGATCTGGAATGAAAAACTCATCAGAATTGAGATCGGAGCGGATGGGTGGGGCTTAATCTTAGTGTTTTTTCTTCATGTACATAGGTTTTTTTTTCTTCATGTACATTGTTTCTTCCAACAATTTTTTGGCACAAAGTACAGTAGATATAATAAAAAACATAGGGTCAATATATTATTCAATAATTTTGGACTGTACTTCTAATGTAAGCCACGTAGAATAACTTGTACTTTCTCGGTTTTTTCGAAAAATTGAAAAATTAAAAATTCATAACTCGTGAAATTTCAAATCGAAAAACTGCAAAATCTAAAAATTGAAGCGTTCGAAAGTTGGAAAATCGGAAAACTGGAGAATTTAAGAATGAAAACTCGAAGAGATATCGCATAATTGTACAAAAGATAGACAAAAAAATGAAAAATTGCAAATGGAAAAATTGACGAAACGAAAAATCGAAAAAAACAAAAAATCGGAACATTATTGAAACCGAGAATTTCAACTGGAAAAATTAAAAATTGAAAACTGGAGAAACTCAATTCGAAAAATTGCAAAATCTATAAATTGAAAAATTCAAAAGTTGAAAATTCGAAAATTTGAAATCGAAAAAATGAAGAAACAAAAAAATGAAAGATTGAAGAACTGAAAAATTCAAGTCAAAAAAAGCTGTGGGACCGACATTTACGACACTGGATTTTACTTTATAGAGAATATCACAAAACAAAATAAAATTTTTCGAAAAAGTGGAATTTATTTGGCTGCACTTCAGAGGCGAGAGAAGTTCTGTTGAATCAACCTTCAACCAATTTTTTTAACATTGGTATCATTTGTAGAATGAAATGCGCTTCCTAAAAAGGGATCACTCGACCCCCACGTGCCAGTTAAAATTTGTACCCAGTCACTGTGAGCTTGGTCGATATATATTTTTTTTAATTCCCGAGCGCAAGCGAAGGAAGTATTGTAATCGAGTCCGTCGGCCGACCCTCTACTTTTACGTTTTCTCAATCTTTCATGACGCCTAGAGTACGAAGAAATAAGTCCCCCGTTTCCGTCTGTCTGTCCGTCTGTTTGTCATACATGTACATAGTAAATGTAGTTTTAAAAAGTATGAAATAACATAGTCCTACACATGTAGTTTATGATTCCGTATTGAGTTTTTACCCGATCAAAATTATAAAACAACATTTTGCAATTTAATTTTGAATATACGAAACCGAATGCTTTGAAATCTTGCAGATGTTTTAAAGTTATGATAAGCATGATCAATTTTTAATCAAAATATATTTATATCCCCAAAAATTTGATGACGTAAGTTCAAAATTTTGCCAAATAAATCATATCTAAATTGTACAAAATATGGTGAGTCTGTACTTGTAATTTATTATTCCATTCATATTTTTTGGATTTGCATATACAGGTGACTCAAAAAAATTAATGACTGCGTGAATTTATTTTATTGTTTTTTACACACTGGGGACCCCACAATCCCCAAAATTTTTCTCAAAAAAAAAACATCAGGAGGCCCCGAGATTTCTTCAAATTCTAGTACTAAACAAAAAAAAAACAACGGGGTCCAAAGCTTGTTTCAAACTTTTTTCAAAAAAAAAACTCCAAGCTGGTCCAATTTTTTTCAAAAAATTAGACCAGCGGCTTTTGAGATGTTTTCAAAAGCAACACATTGGAGATCCCTGAGTCTTCATTTTTTTTTTTTTCAAAATTAACCATCAGGCCCTAAGATTCCTTCAAATTCCTCAAAAAATAACACTACGAGGCCGACCAATCACAACAAAATGCATCGGCGCTAAATTCAAACTGGCCCAAAGTCGAATATTATTGCTTTCATCTGTATGGTCTGAGCATTTTTTTTAATTCGCATCGATTTTTGAAGTTTTTAAGATCCTTAGCTTTTCGATTTTAGGAGTTCTCAGTTTTTCGATTTTTATTTTGGAGTTCTTGCATTTTTTTAGTTTTTGTTTTCGATTTTTCAGTTTTTCTTTTTTTATTTCATCAGTTTTTTCAGGTTTCAATGTTATAATTTTTAGATTTGACAGTTTCTCGTTTTATCGATGTTTCGATTTTAAGATATTTTTATTTTTTGAATTTTCAATTGTTAATTTTTTCGTTATCGTATTTTTTAATTTCGCTATTTTTTCAACATTTCGGTATTTTAATTTTTTTTATTGTTCAATGTTTCGTGTTTTTTTTCAATTTTTAGTTTTACAGTTTTTCGATGTTTATTTTGACATTTTTGGATTTCTCAATTTAAATTTTTTCTAGTTTTCGATTTTTTAATGTCTAGATATTTTAATTTTTGGATTCTACAACTTTTGAATTTTACAATTTGATTTTTCTATTTCTAGAAAATTTTGTTTTCCGTATTTTTTTATTTCTAGATATTTAATTAATCAGTTTTTCGGTTTTACAGTTTCTTAAGTTTTAAGGTTACAATTGTTCCTTTTCCAATTGTTGACCTCTTAGTTATTCGATTTTGAGTTTCTTTATTTTTGCAGTTCTTCGATTTTTCAGTTTTTAATTTTTGATTTTTCAATTTTTCAGTTTTACAATTTTTCGATGTTTCAGCGTTACAGTTTTCCGATTTTTTGATTTTTTAAAATTTCACTTTTAATAAGTTTATCCTTTTGTTGAAAAATTAAAAATAAAGTACTTTCAAGTATGTAATTTCAAGTTGTTTCGTTTCTTCGATTTTTTATTCTCTCAATTCGATATACTTAAATTTTTCTTTTTTTTTTTTAATTGTTAATTTTTCGATTTTTCCGTGTTTCGTTTTTACATTTTTAGATTTCTCGAATTTTTAGTTTTTCGATTTTCATTATTATTTTTATTTTTCAGTAAAATTTTTGTTTTTCATTTTTTAATTTGTAGATATTTTAATTTTTTGATTTTCTATACAATTTTTTTTTTTAGATTTTTCGATTCCTGGATTTTTAATTTATCACTTTTGCAGGTTTCAATGTTACAAATTTTCGATTTTACAGTTTATATCTTTTTCTCAATTGTTCCATTTTTTAATTAGTTTTTTGGTTACCCAATTTTCAGTTTGGATTTTTTTTTCAAGTTTCACTTTTTTCAACTAATTATTAGGGTTTTTATTATTCAATTGTACAATTCTTGGCTTTTCCATTATCCGATTTTTCAGTTTCTGTATTTTTTCAATTCTTCGATTTCTCAACTTTTAAATTTTTCGGTTTTTCAGTGTTTCGTTTTTTCGATGTTACAATTTTTTAATTTTTTCGTGTTTCGTTTTTACAATCCCTTAGTTTTTTAGTTTTCCGTTTGTCATTTTAAAATTTTTAGATCTTGAAATTAATTTTTTTTGTCTATTTGATTATTTAATTTATAGAAATTTTTGTTTTTCGTTGTTTCAATTTTTCAATTTCTCGATTTTTAATTAATCTGGGTTTTCAGGTTTTTATATAACAATTTTTCGATTTTTTAATTGTTTTTTCAGTTATCCACTTGTTTAAGTTCTCATTTTTTTTCATTTTTCGATTTTTCAATTTTAAAATTTTTCGATATATCTGGTTTATTTTTCAATTTTTGATTCTCATTTTTTCGGTTTCTTCAGTTTTTGTTTATTTTTTCAATTCTTCAACTTCTCAATTTTTAATTTTTTTGATTTTTCTTTGTTACAATTTTCTGATTTTTAAATTTTTCAAAATTTCGGTTTAAATAAATTTGTCCTTTTGTTGAACAATTAAAAAATGAAAAATCGAGAAAATAAAGAATTAAAAATTGAGAATTTGAAAAATTTTATATCGAAAAACTGCAAAATTGTTTCCTTTTGTTGATTTTTTCATTTTCTCAATTTTTATTTACCTTGTTTTTTGATGTTTCAGTGTTACAATTTTTGGGGTTTTCAAAAGTTCAGTTTGAATAAATTTGTCCATTTGTTGAACAATTAAAACATGATAAATCGAGAATTTGAAAAATTTCATAACAAAAAATTGCAGAATTTGTTTCGTTTTGTCGATTTTTCAATTTCTCGATTTTTAATTGTTGCATTTTTTAATGTTTCGGTGTTACAGTTATCCGATTTTGCAAAATTTCATTTTGATTAAAATTGAAAATGAAGAACTTGAAAACTCGTTTTTCCAATTTTTCAATTATTAGATTTTGTAGTTTTATTTTTAATTTTTCCTTGTTTTTACACTTTTTCAATTTTTCGGTGTCCCGATTTTTTGTTTTTCGATTTTCATTTTGAAATTTTTTGATTTTTCATCTTAAAATTTTTGTATTCTTCGTTGTTTCAATGATACAATTTTCCGATTTTCCAATTTTTTTTTTAGTTTGGATAAATTTGTTCATTTGGTGAAAAATTAAAAAAAATAGAAATTGAAAAATTAAAAAACTAAAATTTTAAAACTCAAAAAATTGTAAAATCGGAGAACTAACAAAGCAAAAAATGGAATAATTGAAAAATCGTAAAATCGAAAACTGGAGAATCTGTAAAATTAACAAATCGGTGACGATTAAAAAAAATGCTCCCGCACAATAATAAATATAAAAAAAAAATTCCCTAGATCTATGATACTGAAAATGAACACTTGAATTTGGCGTCAGTTTGAATGTGTTTTGGTCGGCACGCGTGCGGAAATTAATGTATGCTGCTTAAAAGGGCCACTAGGGGACTCGTTCAACCCAAAAAAAAACCGAACGGGGTCCAAAAATTTTTCCCAATTTTTGTAAAATAAAACACCAACGGCTCCCAAAATCCTTTGAAATTCTCTTTTTAATATGCTTGGAACCTCTGAAATTTCTTCAAAAACCCTGAGATCCTTACAAATTCTTCCAAGGGGCCTTCGAGATCTTTAAAATTTTTTTGAAAAAATATAGACGAGCGAACAAACATCAAATTCCCCATTCTTAGCTTTTCGATTTTAGGATTTCTCAGTTTTTCGATTTTTATGTTGGAGTTCTTCCTTTTTCTAATTTTTTGTTGTCGATTTTTCAGTTTATCGATTTTTATTTCGTCAGTTTTTTTAGGTTTCAGTGTTATGATTTGACAGTTTCTCGTTTTTTCGATTTTTCTATTTTAAGATATTTTTATTTTTTGACTTTTCAATTGTTGATTTTGTTTCTATAACGATTAAATATCGGTACCGATAAAATCCTTGTCATTTATCGCTTCATTATCGCTTCGTATCGCATCGGTAGAAACAAAATCCCACCCCCGATTTTTTATTTTCGCTATTTTTTCAACATTTCGGTATTTCAATTTTTTATTGTTCAATGTTTCCTGTTTTTTTTTTTCAATTTTTCAGTTTTCGAATTTTTAATTTTACAGTTTTTCTATGTTTATTTTGACATTTTTGGATTTTTCAATTAAAATTTTTTGAATTTTTCGATTTTTTAGTGTCTATATATTTTAATTTTTCGGTTCTTCAACTTTTGAATTTTACAATTTGTCGATTTTTCTATTTCTAGAAAATTTTTCCGTATTTTTTTATTTCTGGATTTTAATTAATAAATTTTTCGATTTTACAGTTTGCAGTTCTTCGATTTCTCAATTTTTAAATTGTTCGGTTTTTCAATGTTTCTTTTTTAATTTTTTGATTTTTCAATTTTTCAGTTTTACAATTTTTCGATGTTTCGGTGTTACAATTTTCCGATTTTTTGATTTCTTAAAAAGTTTGCCCTTTTGTTGACAAATTAAAAACTGAAAAATTGAGAAAAAACTACTGAAAAAACATTCTGAATGTGGTGTAATGCTAATAGTATATCATTTCATAGATTTCTTTGTCTTAAATAACGGTTCTAAATTTCAAACTGTTATCGTTTCATATAGGTAGTATATTAAAGCGGTACAGGTGAACTGGGACACCTGTATAGTTGGATACAGTTATACTGACTGATATAAATTTAACTCAAGACCTTCCTTTTTGTTTTAGAATCTCTTGGGACTATTGACAACGATCATCTGAAACATGCCGTGTCTGAAGTTGAAGGTATGCTAACTTCATTTATAGACAATGTAGAGAGTAGTAGGGCAAGTTCCGTCCAACCCTTCAAACAAGCATGAGACTGATTTTCTGTGCACGCAATATTTATATTATTGTGGCAATGATTTGACCAAAAATATTTTTATAGCAATTTTATCATGATGCGAAATATAGTTTATTTATAAGATTTTTACAAATGCGGCAAATATATGAGAAAGCATAAATAAAACCACGATAAAAAATAAATATAGTTTTATTTAATTGTCCAGTAAGTACATTTATTAATTTAACGAACAATAAGCTTCAGATGTATGTTCAAGGTACATTATTACTTTAAAGCCATTTATTTAGACCGAGTTACGTATTCAGATCTCAACGTTTGATTCGGTTCTCGTGCAATTAGTGCCTATTTAACCAATTATTTATGGTAACTTCGCAATTTTGAACGCCGAGACCTGTCCATATTATCGAAAATATAAAATCATTAACATCATAACATTAATAAAATATCATATAAAATATATTGGTAATTTTATAAATTGTTATTAAAAATATAAACGGGCCAATAGGGAAGCCACAATTTTTCCAACAAGCTTTTCTCTTCGTAATTATTGCACTTTTCTTCAGTGAATTAATCGATTAGTAACGATTATTCCGGGCAAGTGTGTTAAGCGACTTGTATAAGAAGACAATAAATACTGTGTTATGTAAACCACGTGACTGAGTGACTCGTTCAATTCCTCTTCGACGAGTTTATCAAATATTTGCAACAGTGTGTGAGTAAGTGCTTTTCGCCGGATGAATCCAACACCGACATCATTTCTCTTGTATAAATATCCAAACCGTACTGTCCTTCTTCAGGGAAGCTTATACTAAATGTGACTATGTCGTCCGAAACGTTGTGCGAAACGAATTTCGACAAACGTTTCTCTTCCACGCCGTTCTTGTGCAAAGTGGCCATGAAGTCTGTCAGCTGACGCGACATTCTAAACTGTAGTTCGAGTTCACGTCCGGCGAAAATGAGTGCGTCCTAGAATGCAAAATTAAAACTACCTATTGTTGTAAATTTTGCTGTACGAACCTGATGTGTGATAGGTACTAATCCAAACAGTCTTGTAGCTTTAGTCGGTCCCCATTCGCCACTAGCGCAGTCAGGCAGAGGTACCATCACAGTTTGTAAATCTTCACAACAAATTTTGAATTTACAAACACTCTTGAACTTCATTGGTTCACCAGTCAGATACTCCTTTGGCGTTACAGCGTTGGCAAAGATATCCAATAGGAAAGCTCCACTGCAAGGGGCATGCACTCGGAATGCCACCATGTTGCCAACAACAGACTGCAAAAAATACAAATCAAAAACTAACAAACTGCCAGATAAACAGACTAACCTGCATTACGAATCGTTTTAACGATACTCCATCGAAGCTGTCGCTATCGCTGTCGTAGAATTTTAAGTTGTAGTGGAAGATTAAGGTGCCTTGCATGTGTGCGGGCATTGCTATCCTGACTGTAGCCGCACCTGTAGAAAACCGATGAGAATTTTGTTTTTTATGCTTGTGTGTGTAAGTACCCGTTGAGTCTGTGTACATAACGGCTTTTGTATTTGAGTCTGAAAAGTATAGGCCATATCGAAAGAAGAGTGATCGAACGAAAGGTAATTCTTCGAATTCCTGGAGGGTTATAGGGCTCTTGAGCAATTGCCATTCTTGTTGTAGCGGGAAGAATTCGTATATAAATTCTTTCGGGTCAGTCAGGAAGTAATGGTCATCGTATTCGTATCTAAAACAACGTAAATTTCGGTGTTACTATACACACGTAGTTGAAAACAGTATGCAGCAGATTCAATTAGACAAGAAAATATAAATGAATTGTTTCGATTTCAAAGAAGTAAAAATTCAATTTAGTAAGCTTGAGGTAAGTAACTTGACCTTTTCGAACCAAAGTACTGTTAATATTTAGCTTTAGAAGCTGTAAATCATAACGTAAATTATTTAATCTGAGTACGTTTTTTTTGTATTCATCGGTAATAACTAGTTACAGTTTAAGGGCAGATAAATTATGTATTTATCTTCCATAACGCTTATTCCATCTGATCGCATCTTTATTAGGTCACGTTCACACCATTTTTTGCCTATATAGCTTCGTCGTGCTCAAACACTTACCTGTAAGCTATTCCAGCTACCATAAATTTTCCCATGAATATTTTTAACTACTATGTGGATAAATTTACCTTAGACTATCTGATTTGGTTTTGTTTCCTGCCTTTGGAGCTTCTTTCGCGTTGACTAAATGACGCGCTCCCCAGTTACATTGAACGAACCTCCATGCTCCAGCTACGTAGACAGCATTCCATGAATTGCGGAATCTGTTATCTTCAAATCTTACACCAGGTTGATATCCGGCCGATTTTGAATAACCTTTGATTACCACACAGTGTAGACCTGCGTAACTATTACACAGTTAATTGTTAGATAGGTACTGACTCTGCATCAATTATACATACCTGCACAGTCTTTTGAACAAGACGTGGTAGCTTTCGGTGCCGTTTTTGATACCTCGTAAGAGACCCATTGGAGTGTCACCTCGTAAGTTGTCGTCGAAAGACATCGTGTTGAGGTTTTTCACTGTAATCCATCTGAATATCGTCCTGTAAAATAAAAAACGTGAAAGTAAGACGTGAATCGCTGAGTTGAGTAAACTGATGGTTAAATAAAGATGTACATAATGTTAAAATTGGAAATTCAATCTTAGGGACACCGACCTTTTCGATAAAAGATTGTAGTATAGTTCATAATTGAGAAATTTCATCAAAAAATCCATTTTTACCTTCAATCTGAACCTTTTCTCAGTATTCCAAGCTTGTAATGTAGAGGAATCATTACAAAGAATTAGAAAAAATATTAGAAGTAACATTTCTGAAGTTTTTAAATGAATGTCTTGGAAGTATAACCGTCAGAACATTAATACTAGCCCCAATCGTCCCATTTTCGAGATTAGAGGGGATTTTGTATACCACAAAAGCATCTAATCACTCAGTGTTGTGTAATAAATTAATTAGTTTAATATAGAAATAAGACAGAATTTTTGAAGTAAAGAAGTTTTGAAAACCTATGAATTTAAATATAAAACATGGCGCTGCGAACTCTAAAGAATAGTTAAAAAATAAAGAGAAAAAGCTATAGAAAATATTTACAATAGATTTGAACAAACTTTAAGGCTTGATGGCAACCTGAAGGAAAACTTTAGAATTTTTAAACAAGAAATTGAGATTTTTTTTATGCAGCTGAAACGAGAAGTAGAAGGATGAAGGTCCAAGTAGCTAGACTTTTGAATTTTAATCGGTGCGGAAGTTTTAAAGTTATATAACACAGATGTTCCAGTAACTCAAATTTTAGAAGAGTTCAAAAAATATTGCATACCCAAGAACAATGAAATAATGGCCCATTACAAATTTTTTAACAAAAAACAGAAAGAATACGAAAATTTTAACAAGTTTGTGATAGATTTACGAGAATTAGTAATTGATTGCGAATTTGGCGACTTAGAAGAGAAGACGTTGAAAACGCAAATAGTTTTGGGAATATAATATAATAACGATCTGCAGGAGAGATTGTTACGAGAAGATGTTCCGCTTTTAAAAGTTATACAATATTGTAAGGCAGTTGAGTTAGCAGAAAAGTCCCGTCAGCAGCTTAAAAGTGATGTATTGCGCACTACTCATGAATTGACGATGAAAGACAAGAAGAAGATTTTTGATGCAGGGAGTAATACAAGAATTAGTAGTACTGATGATGATAGAAGAGCAAAAAGACATTGTTCGAGATGTAAGAAGAAATATATGATTACAGAAAGTGTCCGACATATGGAAAGACTTGTAATAAGTGTGATATGTTCAATCACTTTGCAATTTGCTGCAGACGACAACTGGTGAATCAGGAAAAGCGTACACATGAAATTAAGGAAAATATCTCTGATGACACAAATGAGAGAATCGTAAAAATACTTGACACTTTGAAAATTAAGTCTATTGGTATAGAAAGTAATAAGAATTGGTTTAAATTAATTGATATAAATGGTGTCAAATGTAATTTAATTCTTATGTATTAAGCTTCTCGCAAGCCATTTAGGCCCATAACTTTGAGATGCATCTCCATTCCGTGCGGTTTTTTGCGCTCTTCCTTTACCGCTTCTTTCCATTTCTTCCTTGGTCTACCTCGTTTCCTTTTGCCATCCGGAATTTTCCACGCCACCATCTTAACTTCCCCTTCTTGGGTCATTCTTTCTAGGTGTCCTAACCATTATAGTCTTTTTATTTTTATGAAATTGCTTACGACTGTGTCATTGTATAAATCATATATTTTTTCATTAGTTCTTGTTTCCCATCCTTCTTCTGTTTCTTTCCCTCCAAAGATTCTTCTAAGTATCTTCCTTTCCCAAATTTCCAGTTTTTGTTTCATTTTATTTGTCATAATCTATGTCTCGCACGCGTATGTTCGGGTTGGTCTCACTTTCTTTACTTTTCATAATTTTTCTTAATCCTCCTGCATAGTTGTTACTTTTTGCAATTCTCAGTTCGATTTCTTTGTCTTCTTGTCGAATAAAAATGCAAAAAATAATGCAACGAAATTTAACGAAAGAAAAATTATATATATATTATATGTATTTGTAATTTTTCTAAAAAGATATGAATAAAAGGAACGATATTAAACAAACTGAAATTTCCAAGATCTTATTTAGTCAAAAATTTAGAATACATTTCAGTACTTTGTAGAAATTCTAAATATTTAAAAAAGAGATTAGATGATTTTGAATTTACCTCAATTATAAATACAAGTACAACAATACAAACACCTACTAAAACACCAACACTTCTCACAGTACCAATACCAGAAATATCAAATAATAATATGTATGTTAAACGAAGTGGAAGAGTTGTAAAGCCTCCTCAAAGGTTGACTTATTAAAAGTTGTTATTATTATTATTATTAAAGAAGCGATCGGGCAGAGGCTACGCCTGTTATGCCCGTGTATAACTAAGGATTGTTTGTCGCACAATATGTATTATCATATTTCGATTTGAAACTTACAATAGATGAGGCTAACACTATATCCTTGGGTTGTAACGCGTTCCCACTGTCAAACACCTTATTCGTTAAATATTTTTGGCGAGCTGAAGTGCAAAACTTCAACTTACGCATCTTTAGAGGATGCTCTCTGGTGTGGTCTGAGGTATTGAGAGGGGAGAGATCCCTGACTGGGGAAAAATTATTATTACTCAAGGCCTAATAAGTAATGATTAGATCCCCTCGTTTGCGCTTGTTTGAAAGAGGGCAGAGATGCAGTAGTCTAAGCTTTTCGCGGTACGGAGGCCAATTTTTGCCGAATGGAAATCTGGTTGCTGGACGCTGGATAGATTCCAAAAACAAAATTTTTTTGAAGTATGAAAGACCAGACACCATTAGCATTCGCTCCCAGCTCGATGGACGTGATCAGTCCAGGACAAATTGGAGGGGGCAACAACACCCAAGTCAACGTGCAAATCTGTACATGAAACAGGTAAGTTGTCAATGGAATAAACGTGTTTCGAGTTTTTATTCCCAAGATGCAGGACTAATCAGTTGTCTAAATTCAAAGGTTACAACCTATCATGAGTCCAGTCATATATTGCTAGAAAGTCTCGTTCTAATAAGTTCCTATAATTCGCACAACTGCTTTAAAGCTTGATGTTGTGGTGACCGAATTTGAATCAAATTTTCGCGCTGAAATTAACAGCGGCGCGAAATCACATTTGAATAATTTGAATTTGAAAGGAAAAATTCAATCAAAAAACCGTTAAACATAGGCAACCATATGCACGTTAGCGTTTGGGTAGTTCTGCATGTTTTAGTTGGAGGGCGGTAGTAGGATTGGTAGACAGAGGGCAGCATGGAGAAGCGTCAGTCTGGGTGTGCTTTTGTGAATGTAACCACGTGGTAAGTAGCTAGGTTAGATTAGTTGGTTTGTTTGGTTATAAAAAGGAGAAAGCCTTTGTTTAACGACAATCAATCGTAACGCCGACGGTGCCCAATTTTCCCCAATCCGCGCGGCTAATTCTTGCCGCTTTTAATCGGAAAAATGCGACTTTTTGATCGACGCCAACACGTGTAAACGCAATTTAACAATCAGGATTATTTAAATAAACCACTTGCTAGAAGATTTCATGAAATTCACTTAGTCAGGATAATAATTCTTTGTTTAACAAGTTATAAATAAGTTTCTGGATGCATATACGTAAGTGTTACGTTATAACTAGAGCTGTGCGGTCGAAATTTATTTATCCCCGCTACCCGTCCACAGTGTAGGAGGCTACAGCCTTGCCTTACTCTCTTCTCGCTTTCCAATTGTGCATTATTTTTGATAATGTACACAAATAGTTTTATTTTCAAGGAGACCGACACTTGAAAATTATTAAAACTATTATTATTACTATTTCGTGGATATGGATTTCGAAATCATCAACTGACGTTCACTTCGCATTAGTTTTCTCATAATTTTCTTCGCGATACGTAACATCGGCTACAAGCCACTGGTCGGTCGTAGTCGGAGGCAATACGGAGCATTTAAAGTTCAACCGCCTGGCCCTAGTTATAACACTTCTTAATTTTTTACACAAGATTGCTAATGGTTCATTTACGGCAGTTAAATTAACAAAATTCATACTGTGAACTGGCGGGGGGTTAAAATAATGTCTTCCCTTAGGCAGCTATCATCCTTATCATGATTACATCACTGAGGCATGTCCTCACAACGCTAAAGATTGATTACATCACTGAGGCATGTCCTCGCAACGGTAAAATTTACATCATCGAGGTATTTCCGCACAACGCTAAAATTTACATCATCGAGGTATTTCCTCGCAACGTTAAAATTTACATCTTCGAGGCGTTTCCTCGCAACGATAAAATTTACATTACCGAGACGCTTTTTCCTCGCAACGATGACTGGATATAATTGTGTTTATTTTCAAACGTCATATAACTGACACTTATATGACGGTCTTACCGGGGTTTAAGTGTCATTTCTATGACACCGTGTTTGAGCGGCGCATAAGTACTACTTATACTCCGCCGGAGTATAAATACATATGTGAAAATCATAGTGGTTGGCAACCATAGTAACCATGGTAAGTGAAATCAAGGCAATTCCTTATTGAAGCAAGAAGATGGGAAATAATCATTTCAAAAGAAGATTAATCGTTTGAAAATAAAATATTGTATTTCATTCGGAGTTTAAGTGACTTTATGTGACTCATATGGACTTAATTCGCCTCGCTATTGCTCGGCGTTTAATCGTCCATACTCCGTCACATAAAGTATCACTTAAACTCCTAATAAAATAAATATCTATTATTTATTAAGTCTTTTGTTGGGGTAATCAGTTCACGGTATCATAAACTCTCAAAGCTAATTGTTTCAAGTAACCAATCACTTGGATCATGACATAATTTGACATAATATAAACTCTTTGTTTGAATCGTTGATAAAGTGCGGCAAATATTAATCTCATGTAAATTTTGTTAACTTTGCAATTTTTCACCTCATACAATATTTCTCTATCTCACTATTTTAGCCTCAGTAATTTTCTTTGTTGTATAATTTTAATTGAACATAAATTTCATGGTCTGCAGTTTTAACCTCACATAATACTTTTATTTGCGCAAGTTTATTTCACACCAGATCTTTTGTTTTATAAATCTTTGCTAGTTTTGTTTTGTAAATATTTTGTTGATGAATGCTTCCATCGCATAAATTATCTGATGCCCAATTTTAATCTCACATAAAAATTATATGTTGTTTAAAATTTCACAAGATTGTACTGCGAATTTAAATGTTGTTTATTGCCCTTTGAAACTCTGACACTTGTTCAGTTATTGTTAATATCAGAGTTATAAGAGATTGAACATTTAAAATGGAATTGAGGTTAAATAACACAGAAATCACGGTAGAAGCGAAGTGCGGTTTAGCGCGTCACCTACACAAAGGGTGCACGTTTATATAGATTCAGGGGCGGTCGCGATGTTGTAACACTGTCGACTTCGCCCAATAGTCGAGACCCAACTGCAGATCTGCGATCGTAACGACCTGCTCGTAGGGCACGTCCATAATGGAGAGGTGCTTTGCGGCAGGCTTGCGATAGATAGAATCACCGTCGTGGGGGGAGACCAGCCCGGACCGGGAGCCCCAAACTCCGCGTGTGCTAGAACGCCCTTATGGGTATTTTTATTGTGCTCTTGTTGACTACCATGATTTTAAATTTGACGTCACACGCCCGTAATAACTTATGTATTTGCATCCAGTTTCTTTAATTCAGATTTTGCTTTGTTTTTATTAAATTTGTGATATTCAAATATTTGCATTGATTCAAAACATAAACCTAGGGTTTCTCTTTCTTTCATATTTTTATGTGTTTCATTTGCGATGTATTATATGTGGGTGAATAAACCATAGGGGGTTTATTATGAGGAGTGAATGCGAGATGGCAAGCCACGTGTCGCCTTCACTCGCAGCTCCTTTTCCTCCTAGAGAGGGGGGTACGATTTTAGCCCCCCTCCCAAAAATTGTGTCCATTATTTCTTGCGCTTTCTACTCGCACGCAGTGTATGCTCACTTGTATGAAAGGACGTCTTTCCGCCATTTTTCCAAAAAAAAAACACAACGTAGGTTCCTTTTTGTTAGACGATCACAGCCAAGGCCAAAGTTTGAATTTTTTAATTTTTCGCCGGCTTTCATTTTTTTTCAGGTGTCAATTTAAAGGCGGGAAGTTTGGGTTATCACAATGTCATCTGCGAACATGGCGAAAGGCGAGGTTATGGTATTCTTGGTATCCTAATTATTTTTTTTTTAATTTGATTACGTTCCCCTACAGGCCGGTAGCTCAATTACAGGGGAACGGGGGACATACACAACACCCAGAGCCGGGCGGGAATCGAACCCACGACCCAAGGTGTAGCGGGCAAGCACGAAGCTACCTAATCCACCCGAGCACCGAGCCCTAGGGCACCCCACTCACGATGTCGACAGATCCACTAAGTCCACCCCCGACTTTGACTCGAAATGTTCGATCGCTCACAAAAGAATCTATCCACCCAAGAAGGTTTCCTTGTATACCAAGGTGTTGCAATTTGTGCAGAAGCCTGGATTTCGGAACCTTGTCAAAAGCTTTTGAAAAATCGAGACGTAAAATATCGACGGGGCGACCGAGGTCGATGTCGCTAGTCCAGGCTGACAAACAGCACAAAAGATTAGATTGAACAAAAAGTCTAGCCTCTCTGATAACAGTCGAAAGATGGTTAGAAAAAGCCCTGTGAGTCTTATTGTAACTCGCCACACTGCTGTCCTTTTGCGTACTAGGTTTAAAATTCTCCCGTTAATCCACGGTTTTGATGAAAATCTTTTAAACGTGGAAATAATGGTGTACTGTGTGGCCGAATCGGATAGTGTTGTTTTAAAGCAATCCCAATTGTTGCTTATCCACAAATCATAAAGAAGAGATATTTCCAGTCTAGGTTGCCTAAATCCTTATTCAGTGCTTTAAAATCTATCATCTTCCATTCAAGCGTGATAGTTGTCTGCTACATATGTAACAAACCTGTAAATCCATCATTAGAACTAAATGGTCCGATTTACCAATTAGATTTAAATATTCCAAGTTCGAGGTTGAACTGTCACCAGACGATATAACTGAATCTAACACAGATGGTTTTTGGTTCAACCTGAACCTTGTTGGCTGCGTGATCAATTGATTCACCAAAAGTTGAGAGAAAGGAGAATAGGAACGATTGCTTTGTCAAAGCTTAGTGGGTACTGATCTGTATTATCATTTAAATTTTTAGCTGGGGCATGTAGCTTTGAAGTAGGAGTTAGATTTTCACAAGAGTTGCTAGGTCTACTTTTTTTGGTCTACGACTATCATCACCAGGAGTACCTCCAGTAAGATCCAGAGGAGAAACGTCCGTCGAAGGGTCATCATCATCATCTATATGCTTTTTTGCAGAAACATCTTGCGCTTTCACCTCAGCCTCTGGACTACGAGAAGTGGCCTGTGGTGCCGGGCAGTCGCTAGCAACGTGCCCAGTCCTTTTGCATTTAAAACAATTGTCATCAAACGCCAGAAATATGCGTTAGTTGGTATTTTCATATTTCAAGACCATTGATTCTGGAAGATTTATATTCACCGCTTTGGATGCCGGCTCGAAGAAAAGACATTGGAGATAACGTTGTAAAACCAAGAACTTTAATCTTGTCAACAAAAACATCATGAAGGACCGAGGGACAAACATTCGTCGCGAAGGAGTTAACCGACGAAGGCTAACTTTTATACCATTAATGAAAATACTGGAAAACCTGTTTACTACACCATCTACCCGAGTTTTTGAACTAAGATAAATGCAGGCCCGACCTTTTGAAATTCTAGAAGCAAATAGAATATTTTTAGGTGCAACAATCACCTATTGCTGCTATATAATCCATTAGGACAAGATCATCGACAGCGGTAAAAACTATCGCTTGATCCTGCTTTGGAAAATTAGGCACTGAATTCGCCATCGTGTTGGATCGGTTTAAAATCTTAGGCGAAGCAGCTCAACGCCGCAATAGCTCGCCCACGACAATCAAATCGGCATTTTCGAGTCCGCTGGTTGGAGGAATCCTTATGGAGTATTCGAAACCTTGTTAAAAGTAAAATATGTAACGTTTCTAATCGAATTCCGCCAGATTATGAAATCTAGAGCGATGATCAACTGCGGTCCAAAGTCATATCTCGTTACATTGGTACCTGGAGTGCCTTAATCCCTCGCTTTAACTCCAGAATAAATTGATAATAGTAGCAATTGTAAAATTTGCCTTCATTTTAGCAAGTTTAAAATGCATAGGAATAAGTACGTGAAACTAAATATACATATAGCAGACATGCATTAAATAAAGAAGATGATCGCAGACCGGAAGCTGTTGAAAGGTTTCACCGCATTGGGTTAATTTGAAACTAAAATTGCTACTGTTAAATAATTAATACTTTTTAATTAATTCCAAATTTGAGAGGAAATATATAACGGTGCAACATAAATAGTCAAGCAAACGACAAACCTCAAATAAGTAAATCAATTCAGTTTACAACAAAACTGGTTACCTGATAAAAAAGGTCAAATGGGTAGCAAATTATAGATGCGTTGCTAAGTGCCTGTAGCACCTATTTTTGAACTTCTGCTATGTATTCCAAGGTTCATAGAAAATTAAAAACTTGGGAATCTTGGAAGCAAAACTTTCCGTGTTTGAGGAGTGTAGTCTTTAACAGACCATATAATTGTTTAGTTTTTAAAAATTTTCAAAGATTTAAGTTTACGACAAACTTAAGGTTCAGTAATTCCCGAAAAAGGACGGATTTGAGAGTACAAGATTGTGTATCGGGTGTATGAATAAAAATCTAGTCAACAGAGTCGCTTCATGTCACCAGCTTTTGTTTTTTCCGTATGTCGTTTCCGAAATCAATTTTGAAAGCTGTGTTCCGCTTGTCACATCGATTGTTGTTAATTAATAGCCTTTAAATTGAGTTTAGCATCGAAGTGACAACTATTTTGAACACAATGACAAACACTACGACATACGGGAAAAAGCAATAAAATACACGACTTTGTTACAACCGAAAAAAAAATCATTTATACTTCCTACATCACGAACTAAAACACCTATAGAACCTTCCTCCTGCATAATTATATATCAATCATACGGACGTGTAACCATAAAACTCTCAGGCTCTGTTAACTAGGAAAAAGAAGCATACGAACACGCTGCGAATATCACGTCTATGCTGGTGAGAACGACTTAATACTCGGAATACAAATAATAATTACCTCGCCTTTTCAATATCCGAGCCGCATCTTCCCACCAATTGCCGGACCAAATCCGTGAAAGTCTTTTGATCCTCTTGAGCAACCGAAATGGCGATCTGATCAACATTGCTGAATTCGACTGGATCGTTGTAGACCTGGTACTTGCTGAGGGCAGGAGGTGCTGGTGCTGGAGCGTGACTCGGGTAAGGTTGGACGTGTTCTTCGGTGTATCCGTCGTTGCTATCTAAGTAGAGCGATTCGGCTTGCATGTATTCGCTTCGTTTTTCGTTGATAAGTTCGAGCATTTCGTGACTCTGCTTCTCGACGAGTGCTGCAGTCGCCGCCCTGCGAAGAAGTTTGATCGGTAATCATGTTGCGATGGTGATAAACAGGGTTGTTGCTCTTGATTAGGTAAAATTTTTGATTAATTGCAAGAAACGTGTAAAAAAATAGTACAAGTTTCAGTGCAGTGGCCATCTATAACATTTAGAATTCTATATTATTAGAGAATAGGGCAATGAGTTTTGAATAGTAAAACTTTTTTTATTTAAATTAATTTGTTTGTGTTCCACTGTTACCAAATAGAACTGATGCATATGCAATGAGCTGTTTAGTTGTGTTTTATGGCTTGATAAAAAGTTTTACAGTACATAGTCACAAACACCATATCAGTACTGAGTCATTATTTTATGTTAGGACCTCTACAAATAGAGGAATACAATAATTAATGTTTTTTTCGAATCCCTGAAATTATAGACTTAAATTTTTATAACAATTCTATATTCAAAAATTACAGAAATACTCGTAAGTCCAATTATTTCTTCCAATACGGTACCAGTAAAGTGAATTAGTACTTTGTGATTTTTAAATTTCTTCTCTAGTTGGCCATGACGCGTCAGGAGTGCAACTGAAAGGGCTGACGTAAACGTCATGGCCAAGTAGAGCAGAAATTAAAAGTCGCCCGATATAAAAATTATCTAGTAATAATCCGGTGACCTAAAATTCCAGCACATTATATATTTTTGTCTGTTAACTGCAAGCAATAAATTTTACCGTTACGCACCCCTTAATGTTTTAGAAAGTTCTATTCCCTTTCGGATTCTTTACCATTTACATAATTTGTTAACGAGGGAAATGAAGTCCCTTGTGAAATGAAACTGACAATAAATTAAATGTAAAAAGTATTTTTTATGTGAAACCTTCTCGGGAGTCCCAATTGTCTTTTTCAATAATGTAAAACCTTCTCGGGGGCGCCAAAAGTCTTTTTAATAATGTGAAACCTTCTCGGGGGCCCCAAATGTCTATTTTAAGAATGTGAAACCTTCTCGTGGGTCCCAATTGTCTTTTTTCGTTTAGATTTATTGTCCTTATTTTTACAATTTTTCGATTTTACAATGTTCGTATTTTATAATTTTAAATTTTTCAATTTTTCGTTTCTTCAGTTTTTGGAAAATATTTGAATTTTTCATTTCTTGAATTTTCCGTTTTGGTTTTGTAATTTCTTTATTTTTTCACTTTTTCGATTTTTCAACATTGTGATTTTATAATTTAGAAATGTAAAATAGAAAAATTGAAAAGCCGAAAAATCGGACGATCGAAATATCGAAAATTCAAAAAATTAAAAAACTTTAAAATTGAAAAGTCAAAAACCGAGATAGAAACCCCGAAATCGAGAAATCGAAAAATCAAGAAATAGAAATGTGAACAAATCCAAAACTGAAAATAATCGCAAAATTGAGAAATTAAAAAATCCAAACATTAAGAGAATTGAGAAATCGAAAAATGAACAAACCGAAAATAGAACAATTTAAATACTTAAATATCGAGCAATCGAAAAGTCGAAAAATCGAAAAATTTAATTAAAAATCTAAAAAACCGAAAGTTAAAAAATTGGGAAATCTACAAAGCGAAAATCACAATACTGAAGAATCAAACTCCTGAAAAATACCAAAACTGAAATTTCGTGAAATCGAACAAATTCCAAAATCTAAAAATCAAAAATAATTGAAAAACCGAAAACTCAAAAAATCGAGAGATCGAAAAATGGACAAATTGAAGAATAAAAAACTAAAAAATCGAAAAACAAGAAATCGAGAAATTTACAAATCGAAAAACAACGAAATTGTAGTAAAAATTTTGGAAAATTCCAAAAGTGAAATATCGAAAAATCGTGAAATCGAACAAATCCAAAAATCGAAAAATTGAGAAGTAGAAACCTGAGAAGTTTGAAAAATCGAAACTTCAAAAAATCGAAAAATCGAAAATTGAGAAATCGACTAATCGCAAAATCGAAAGGAAAAATCGAAAAACTAAAGACTCGAAATATTGAAAACTTTCAGACCGAAATAGAAACATCGAAAACCCGACAAATGTAAAACATTTTAAAATTCGAAAAACTGAAAAATGAAAAATACAATAGGTAATAAATCGAAAAATTAAAACAAGTAGAGAAATAAGAAATCCAAAATTAAAACAATCGAAAAATCGAGGAATCTACAAGTCCACAATTCGGAAAATTGAAAAATTGAAGACCTGAAAAATTGGGACTTTAAAAAATCGAAATATCGAAAATTAAGAAATCGACGAATCGAACAGTCGAAAAATTGAAAAATTTGTAATTCGAAAAATTGAAAAATTTGTAATTCGAAAAATCGAAACATGAAAAATCGAGAAATCGACATCAGAAAATCGAAAAATTTAATATTGAAAGAATCGAAAAATCCTAGAGTACGAAGAGTACGAAGAAATAGGTTTCCCGTTTCCATCCGTCTGTCTGTGTGTCTGTCTGAATGTGAAACGTTCTCGGGGGTCCGAAATGTATTTTTTTAAGGATATGAAACCTCGGGGCTCCCAATTGTCTTTTTTAAAAACGCAAAACATTCTCGGGGGCCCCAAAGTATTTTTTTATGTGAAACCTTCTCGGGGGTCCCAATTGTCTTTTTCAATAATGTAAAACCTTCTCGGGGGCGCCGAAAGTCTTTTTAATAATGTGAAACCTTCTCGGGGGCCCCAAATGTCTATTTTAATAATGTGAAACCTTCTCGTGGGTCCCAATTGTCTTTTTTCGTTTAGATTTATTGTCCTTATTTTTACAATTTTTCGATTTTTTAATGTTCGGATTTTATAATTTCAAATTTTTCAATTTTTCGTATCTTCAGTTTTTCGAAAATATTTGAATTTTTCATTTGTTGAATTTTTCGTTTTGGTTTTATATTTTCTTTATTTTTTCAATTTTTCGATTTTTCAACATTGTGATTTTATAATTTAGAAATGTAGATAAGAAAAATAGAAAAATCGAAAAGCCGAAAAATCGGACGATCGAAATTTCGAAAATTCCAAAAATTAAAAAACATTAAAATTGAAAAGTCAAAAAACCGAGATAGAAACCCCGAAATCGAGAAATCGAAAAGTCAAAAATTATAAATCGAAATATCGAAAAATTGAGAAATCGAAAAATCAAGAAATAGAAATGTGAACAAATCCAAAACTGAGAATAATCGAAAAATTGAGAAATTAAAAAATCTAAACCTTAAGAGAATTGAGAAATCGAAAAATGAACAAACCGAAAATAGAACAATTTAAATACTTAAATATCGAGCAATCGAAAAGTCGAAAAATCGAAAAATTTAATTAAAAATCTAAAAAACCGAAAGTTAAAAAATTGGGAAATCTACAAAGCGAAAATCACAATACTGAAGAATCAAAATCCTGAAAAATACCAAAACTGAAATTTCGTGAAATCGAACAAATTCAAAAATCTAAAAATCAAAAATAATTGAAAAACCGAAAACTCGAAAAATGGACAAATTGAAGAATAAAAAACTAAAAAATCGAAAAATCAAGAAATCGAGAAATTTACAAATCGAAAAACAACGAAATTGTAGTCAAAATTTTGGAAAATTCCAAAAGTGAAATATCAAAAAATCGTGAAATCGAACAAATCCAAAAATCGAAAAATCGAAAATTGAGAAATCGACTAATCGCAAAATCGAAAGGAAAAATCGAAAAACTAAAGACTCGAAATATTGAAAACTTTCAGACCGAAATAGAAACATCGAAAACCTGACAAATGTAAAACATTTTAAAATTCGAAAAACTGAAAAATGAAAAAATCCAATAGGTAATAAACCGAAAAATTAAAACAAGTAGAGAAATAAGAAATCCAAAATTTAAAAAATCGAAAAATCGAGAAATCTACAAGTCAACAATTCGGAAAATTGAAAAATTGAAGACTTAAAAAAAAAAGTACTGAAAAGTCGAAAAATTGAAAAATTTGTAATTCAAAAAATTGAAAAATTTGTAATTCGAAAAATCGAAACATGAAAAATCGAGAAATCGACATCAGAAAATCGAAAAATTTAATATTGAAAGAATCGAAAAGTTCTAGAGTACGAAGAGTACGAAGAAATAGGTTTCCCGTTTCCATCCGTCTGTCTGTCTGTCTGAATGTGAAACGTTCTCGGGGGTCCGAAATGTATTTTTTTTTAAAGGATATGAAACCTTCTCGGGGCTCCCAATTGTCTTTTTTAAAAACGCAAAACATTCTAGGGGGCTCAAAGTATTTTTTATGTGAAACCTTCTCGGGGGTCCTAATTGTCTTTTTCAATAATGTAAAACCTTCTCGGGGGCGCCGAAAGTCTTTTTAATAATTTGAAACCTTCTCGGGGGTCTCAACTGTCGTTTTTTAAAAATGTGAAACTTTATCGGCGGCCCCAAATGTCTATTTTAAGAATGTGAAACCTTCTCGTGGGTCCCAATTGTCTTGTTTCGTTTACATTTATTGTCCTTATTTTTACAATTTTTCGATTTTTCAATGTTCGGATTTTATAATTTCAAATTTTTCAATTTTTCGTTTCTTCAGTTTTTCGAAAACATTTGAATTTCTCATTTCTTGAATTTTTCGTTTTGGTTTTGTATTTTCTTTATTTTTTCACTTTTTCGATTTTTCAACATTGTGATTTTATAATTTAGAAATGTAGAATAGAAAAATAGAAAAATTGAAAAGCCGAAAAATTGGACGATCGAAATATCGAAAATTCAAAAAATTAAAAAACTTTAAAATTGAAAAGTCAGAAACCGAGATAGAAACCCCGAAATCGAGAAATCGAAAGATCAAGAAATAGAAATGTGAACAAATCCAAAACTGAGAATAATCGCAAAATTGAGAAATTAAAAAATCCAAACATTAAGAGAATTGAGAAATCGAAAAATGAACAAACCGAAAATAGAACAATTTAAATACTTAATAAATATCAAGCAATCGAAAAGTCGAAAAATCGAAAAATTTAATTAAAAATCTAAAAAACCGAAAGTTAAAAAATTGGGAAATCTACAAAGCGAAAATCACAATACTGAAGAATCAAAATCCTGAAAAATACCAAAACTGAAATTTCGTGAAATCGAACAAATTCCAAAATCTAAAAATCAAAAGTAATTGAAAAACCGAAAACTCGAAAAATCGAGAGATCGAAAAATGGACAAATTGAAGAATAAAAAACCAAAAAATCGAAAAATCAAGAAATCGAGAAATTTACAAATCGAAAAACAACGAAATTGTAGTCAAAATTTTGGAAAATTCCAAAAGTGAAATATCGAAAAATTGTGAAATCGAACAAATCCAAAAATCGAAAAATTGAGAAGTAGAAACCTGAAAAGTTTGAAAAATCGAAACTTCAAAAAATCGAAAAATCGAAAATTGAGAAATCGACTAATCGCAAAATCGAAAGGAAAAATCGAAAAACTAAAGACTCGAAATATTTGAAAACTTTCAGACCGAAATAGAAACATCGAAAACCCGACAAATGTAAAACATTTTAAAATTCGAAAAACTGAAAAATGAAAAAATACAATAGGTAATAAATCGAAAATTTAAAACAAGTAGAGAAATAAGAAATCCAAAATTAAAACAATCGAAAAATCGAGGAATCTACAAGTCCACAATTCGGAAAATTGAAAAATTGAAGACCTGAAAAATTGGGACTTTAAAAAATCGAAATATCGAAAATTGAGAAATCGACGAATCGAAAAATTGAAAAATTTGTAATTCGAAAAATTGACAAATTTGTAATTCGAAAAATCGAAACATGAAAAATCAAGAAATCGACATTAGAAAATCGAAAAATTTAATATTGAAAGAATCGAAAAGTCCTAGAGTACGAAGAGTACGAAGAAATATGTTTCCCGTTTCCATCCGTCTGTCTGTCGGTCTGTCTGAATGTGAAACGTTCTCGGGGGTCCAAAATCTATTTTTTTTAAGGATATGAAACCTTCTTGGGGCTCCCAATTGTCTTTTTTAAAAACGCAAAACATTCTCGGGGGCCCCAAAGTATTTTTTTTATGTGAAACCTTCTCGGGGGTCCCAATTGTCTTTTTCAATCATGTAAAACCTTCTGGGGGCGCCGAAAGTCTTTTTAATAATGTGAAACCTTCTCGGAGGTCTCAACTGTCGTTTTTTAAAAATGTGAAACCTTCTCGGGGGCCCCAAATGTCTATTTTAAGAATGTGAAACCTTCTCGTGGGTCCCAATTGTCTTTTTTCGTTTAGATTTATTGTCCTTACTTTTACAATTTTTCGATTTTTCAATGTTCGGATTTTATAATTTCAAATTTTTCAATTTTTCATTTCTTCAGTTTTTCGAAAATATTTGAATTTTTCGATTTTTCGTATCTTGAATTTTTCGTTTTGGTTTTGTATTTTCTTTTTTTTTCACTTTTTCGATTTTTCAACATCGTGATTTTATAATTTAGAAATGTAGAATATAAAAATAGAAAAATTGAAAAGCCGAAAAATCGGACGATCGAAATATCCAAAATTCAAAAAATCAAAAAACTTTAAAATTGAAAGGTCAAAAAACCGAGATAGAAACCCCGAAATCGAGAAATCGAAAAGTCAAAAATTATAAATCGAAATATCGAAAAATTGAGAAATCGAAAAATCAAGAAATAGAAATGTGAACAAATCCAAAACTAAGAATAATCGAAAAATTGAGAAATCAAAAAAATACAAACATTAAGAGAATTGAGAAATCGAAAAATGAACAAACCGAAAATAGAACAATTTAAATAAATTTTAAAATTTGAAAAATTGAATTAAAAATCTAAAAAACCGAAAATCAAAAAATTGGGAAATCTACAAAGCGAAAAATTACAATACTACTGAAAAATTCCAAAACTGAAATTTCGTGAAATCGAACAAATTCAAAAATCTAAAAATCAAAAATAATTGAAAAATCGAGAGATCGAAAAATGGACAAATTGAAGAATAGAAAAACTAAAAAATCGAAAAATCAAGAAAACGAGAAATTTACAAAACGAAAAACAGCGAAATTGTAGTCAAAATTTTGGAAAATTCCAAAAGTGAAATATCGAAAAATCCAAAATTAAGAAATCTAGAACTAATCGCAAAATCGAAAAGAATCGAAATATTGAAAAAATTCAGAATAGAAAAATCGAAAACCCGAAAATCTAGCTATATCTAGTTGTCATATATATTGTCATTTTTTCTAATTTTTTTATTCTGAAAAGATTTTATTATGAAAATTGGATGGGCAATAGAGTACCTACTCCATGACCAGCTTGCAGGCCAGATTTAAGTCCTTACAAAAAATTGAATTAGGAGTGTTAACGTGTGATATGCTATTAAACGCGACAAGTTGTGAATTAATAAGAAATTTTGTGTTCAGCGTGAAGGATGACAGTTTAAATAAACGCTTAAATAAAATGTTTTTTAAACAGATATTACTAATATTAAAGTGGGACGGTACTTTATTTCCTTCAACTTAATTTTTTTTATATTTGTAACTTTTGAATCCATACGTACTTCTCTGTCAGTGTTATGGTCTATATAATGAAATTACTGTATAAAAGAAATGCAGATTTGGTGTGCTTCTGATATGGGGCAAGTTCTAACTATTAATAAATTTCAGATTTTCTTCAACCATTACTGCGAGATATTAGTTTCATTTCTGACCCTGCAACTAACCTCTGTATTTTTAATAATGTCACTACATTTTCCAGAAACGTAAGCATTCATTATATTTGGTAACTGATACATTTTTTATTTTAATGTAATTTTCCTATGCTTAAATTTTATTTATGATTTTATGCATTACATCAATACTTAGTCAAAAAGTTTCTTCACGTTATAAATTAAAGGAATAGCAAGACAGTTATTCGAATTTCACCAAATTTTAAGCCGGAAGTAATTAATTCATAGACTTTATTGAATAACAGTACAACCCAACTACCTTTCATGTTCTAGCATCTTCCTTGTAAGTGACTCTTTCTTCTTGTCCCTCCGTAACGTCATATTTTTCTCCAAGTCCTCCTTCTCTTGCTGATGCCTCAGCGTGAGCACATTTTGGTCGTCGCGTTTCCGTTTCATTTGCATTTCCCTTTCAAATCGACTCGTTAGCCTTTCCAGTTCCTTTTCCCATTCGTCCTGTAAAACAAATCGGCGGCATTTGTAGTCTAGTACATCTCGGCTTTCTACACAAAATCAGGACAACTGCAAAAACTATTGTTATTCAAATTAGGGAAAAACAACAGTTCTTTGCACCAATTACGACGTTATGGTCTATAAAGTGACAACTGCGGAATTATCAAGGTCAAGGGTATATAATTTTTGTCTGGGTTGTTACAAATTTTGGAAACCTACCCGAAATTCGTCCCTGATTCGTCTTTCTTCCTCTTCCCTTTGTCGTGCGAATTTTCTATAAAGGTCGTCTTCTTCTTTCCGATGTTTCATTTCTAAGCGTTTCTGTTCGTCACGGTCCTGTAAAAAATTAAAAGTTAGTCATCTCGAGACTAGTTGTTCATTTTACGTAACGAAGGTTGTGCTTAATTTATGAAATAGAAAATCCTGAGGACAATTAGAACATGTACGGTAGCGGCAATAAAGTCTGGATTACATTCCCATAGTATTCTAGATACGATTGTCCTTTTTGTTCTCATACTGTTTGTAAGTACATAATGCAAGGTTAATAATATGTTTAATTAATTACAAGTTGCTGTTATGGGAAAGATAAGATGGACATGGTTATTCCATTTTCTTTGCGTGATTCACAAAAATTGTAGACTGTTATTACTGGGAATTGTTGTCGTTGACTTAATTTGTTTTGTGCGGTTATTTTGAGACAATAATTAACTTTTTTAAAAGAAGAACATTCAATGATTTGTTTTTAGTCGTGAAAATGAGGGGTTGGAATAAATTGTTTTAAATCACTGACCACATAGCAGTACCTGTAAAATAACATTTTTTCAGCCTTAAACAGTTAGTTAACTCTTAAAATGTATTGAACGTAATACCTACTCACTGTACCGTGTTATTCAATTTGTGGCAAAGTTTATGGTATAAATTTTTAGAAGCTATGCAAATTAGGTAACTGGATACTTCAAAACTTTTTATAATAGGTAGTATGTAATCAAATTAGCGGCCAATTATGCATATTTAATCGAAAATGTAAGCATGAGAGATGAGCAATTATTGTTTGTTGTTATTACAAAGTTGATTATAATATGTCAACAGGAAATAGAGACTTCTGTAATTTCATCTTTAGTCACGTGTTGTCCTTTTCATAGTGAACAATGAACAGTCAAGTTGAGTTATAAATAGAGAATTATTGCATGCTGTTGAAATTTAATGGCAAAACAATTAATCTAGCAAGCACTGAATAAATTCTATAAGCAATTCAGGAATACACTATGTCAAAAAGACTTGAGTAGGCTAGTACTGTTAAAACTATGGCGTCTTTAATTAGTACATGCTATAAAAAAAGTGAGTGGATGTATAGTTGTGTAAAATTTGTAATGTTTATCCCACTAAAACATTCACGTTTTAATAACAGTCTGTTGCCAAATAAATATTATCAACTACTGGTTTTGACAGACTGGTACGAGATCTGCGTCAATTTTGATATGGTCTATTAATTTTCTTTATCCTTTGTTTTTGATCAGAAATGCCAAAAATAATATTAAAATTGACATTTCACTTTACGATTAAAATCAATTAATATTCGAACATTGTTTCCTGAACTAGTTACAGAAGTACTGTAGTAGATTTCATCCCGAAAAAGGCTAATTTCATGTTTTCTAGACGTTTCATAACCCCGAGAATATGAAAAAGTAGGTCGCCTAGACTAATGAGTGTAAATTTTTGTATGTATTTTAGGATATCGTGTGTACTGTAGACAGTAAAACACTAACCAAAATTTGTCTTAACATTAACATTTAACAATTTAACATAAAAATTGCAAAGCGCAATGCTCTGAAATCTTGTAAAAGTTTTAAGTTTATCGTAAGCATGGTAAATTTTATCTTTTCGAAAAATTTGTGTCAACATTTTGCTGAATATCTAACATGTGCAAAATAACCTCTAGTCGAGTCTAGTCTATACTTGTAGATTATGAGTGCATTCATATTTTCTAGAATGCATATACAGGGTGATTAAAGAAATAAATTAACGAAGAAATTTATTTTATTAAATGTACGTAGGTACATCATATCAAAAATGGCTTACCTCATTTTCCCGAAATTTTAGAAATACAGTACTGTATTACACTATATTCTTTCAAATTAATATATTTGTCCTTAATGAAAAGTTAGTGATGTCATCGCAAAATTTTATTAAGACAAACTCACTTAAAAGGCATATTATGCACACCTGTAGTTTAACACATCTCTTTTTATTTTAACTTACAGGATTATCATAAAAACATGGTTTAGGTTATTTAGCTTCTTCGAAAAATGATTTGATTTTGCTAAATTTTATTTATTTTATGACAACTCGCATCAGTTAAAAATATATAAATACATAATACCCATCATAGTCTGAAAAAATAAAAGGTTCATAAGGGTATCCAACCGGAGACCTCCGTGTTATTAGTATTATACGATTTCCACTACGCTATTATAACTCTCTGATGGAGCTGCTCTTACACTGGTATAAAACGTTATTATATAATTTGGATTTTTGTGGGAAAATTTCGAGTCTAGGCTAGAAATTCACAACGGATTCATAGACCACAAGTACAGGAGTATGATATCTTATTTTCTAACCACATTAAAACAAAGTGTCTTTAAAATAAAGTAATAGTTATTTACAAAAAAGTCGGGAAAATCTCACATTACTGAAGAGGAGCTAAATTGAACTACGACGCACTTTGTGCCGAGTATTTTAAAGTTCCCAGTCAAGTAAGTGTTTTGTATTCAATTTTTCCGGATATCGTAAAAAAGACGAAATTTACAAATTTTAGAATAATTTGTGAGGGCATTCCATCTTTTTTATTTTGCGTCTTGTAAAGTCTTTACAGTACTAGTCAGGAAAACTCAATTTTCTTACGCATAGACACGCAGGGAAAAATATTGTTGCTATGTAAATCTAACGAAAAAAAATGGTCTAGAGTCATTTAAACAGAACTTCCCCCATCCATGCAATACAATCAAACTGATTCTGTTTTTACTTCCCAAGCGTAAGCGTAAGTCCATCGGACCAATGGCCACTTTCATACATATTTCCTCGACGTTTCATGATCAATAGAGTACGAAAAAGTTGTCTCCCGTTTCCGTCTGTCTGTCTGTCTGTCTGTCCATCGGGTGTCTGCATCAATTTTTACTAGACACGTAATCTCCAAAACTGCAGAGTTCATTGTTGTCAAATTTTGTAGTAACATATATTAAAAATATCATGTAGATGGTTAAATTCTAATTTCGCCAATCATCAAATATATTCCAATGAGTGTGACGTACGAATCCGCTTTCAGTTTTTCCCTAACCGACCAAATTTTTGGAAAAACATAATGCACGGTATAATAACGTTTACCATTAACGTAAGGCATCCCGGTCGTGGTCTAGTGGTTACGCGTCAGGAATGCGGACCGGACGTCGCGCGTTCGATTCCGAACTTGGCATTTCGTTTTTTTTCTTTTTCTCTCGTATTGTATATCTCGCATATCTATGTTCATGAAGTCATAACAAATTTTTTATTGATGAAAGTACCCCACTTTCTCGAAAAGGTGAAAATGCCCTTCTCTTTATTTAAAAATCTTAAAACTTCTTGGGAGAGCCAAATGTCTTTTTTTAAGAATGTAAACCTTCTTGGGGGTCCCAACTGTCTTTTTTAAAAATGTAAAACCTCTTCGGGGGTACCAAATGTCTTTTTTTAATGTGAAACCTTCTCGGGGTCCCAAATGTCTTTCTTAAAAATTTAAAACCTTCTCGGGGGCCCCAAATATATTTTTTTAAGTGATATCTTTTCGGGAGTCCCAACTGTTTTTTTTTATGTAAAACCTTCTCAAGGGAACCCAACTGTCTTTTTTAAAAACGTAAAACCTCCTCGGAGGCGCCAAATGTTTTTTTTTTTCTTTTAATGTAAAACCTTCTCGGGGGACCCAACTGTCTTTTTTTTAATATGGAACCTTCTCGCGGTCCCAAATGTCTTTTTTAAAAATGTAAAACCTCCTCGCGAAGGCCAAATGTTTTTTTTAGAAGGTGAAACCTCCTGGGGGGGCCCAAATGTCTTTTTTTTAATGTGAAACCTTCTCGGGGACCCCAAATATCTTTTTTTTAATATGAAACCTTCTCGCGGTCCCAAATGTCTTTCTTAAAAATGTAAAACCTTCTCGGGGCTCCAAATATCTTGATTTAAGAATGTGAAACCTTCTCGGGGATCTCAACTGTCTTTTTTAAAAATGTAAAACCTCCTTGGGAACGCCAAATGTTTTTTTTAGAATGTGAAACTTCCTAGGGAGGCCCAAATGTCTTTTTTTATGTAAAACCTTCTCGGGGACCCCAAATATCTTTTTTTTTTAATATGAAACCTTCTCGCGGTCCCAAATGTCTTTCTTAAAAATGTAAAACCTTCTCGGGGCTCCAAATATCTTGGTTTAAGAATGTGAAACCTTCTCGGGTATCCCAACTGTCTTTTTTAAAAATGTAAAACCTCCTCGGGAAAGCCAAATTTTTTTTTTAAGAATGTGAAACCTTCTGGGGGGTCCCAACTCTCTTTTTTAAAAATGTCAAACCTTCTGGGGGGCGCCAAATGGCTTTTTTAAGAATGTGAAACCTTCTCGGGGGTTCCAACTGTCTTGTTTTAAGAATGTGTAACCTTCTGGGGGGGCCCAAATGTCTTTTTTTTAATGTAAAACCTTTTCGGGGACCCCAAATATCTTTTTTTAAATATGAAACCTTCTCGCGATCCCAAATGTCTTTCTTAAAAATGTAAAACCTCCTCGGGGACCCCAAATATATTTTTTTAAGAATGTGAAACTTTCTCGGGGGATCCCAATTGTCTTTTTTAATGTAAAACCTCCTCGGGCGCCCCAAATACCTTTTTTTTTAACGTGAAACTTTCTCGGGGTGTCAAATGTCTTTCTTAATAATGTTAAACCTTCTCGAGGTCCCCAAATATCTTAATGTGATACGTTCTCGGGAGTCCCAACTGTTTTTTTTTTTAATGTAAAACCTACTCGGGGGAACCCAACTGTCTTTTTTAAGAATGTGAAACTTTCTCGGGGGCCCCAAATGTCTTTTTTAAGAAGGTTAAACCCTCTTATTTCTGTTACACTGTGATTAGTACCTTCTATATTGTTTTTACTCCATAGAGGTTATCACGAAAAAATAAAATTCCGCAAAATCAAATTTTATAATTTTTCAGAGAAAAAATTGTTGGACTGTAACTTTCGACCAATTTTTAGAACATAACTAACGGTAACATTATAATGCTCACAAGTGTAGAGAAAAATCATTTAAAAAGTTCTTACGTTCGTCAATTTGGTG